AGTAGAACGATAGCAAGTGGAACTAGAAGGTCCCAAGAGATGATTTTATCCAACCTCTTCATTTTTCAGTAAAAGTGACAGAGGCTCCAAGGGGTGAGATTTTCACAAACACAGCTGGTTCTGCCACTACCCCTGAAATGTTAGACAAAGTCCCTCAATGGGTCTGGACCTCAGCTCCTTCCTCTGTAAAAACAACTGAGGGTAATCACAGTGAACATTTTCCAAGTGCCTCCTATGTGCCAGGCACTTCACTGAGTATTTTGTGTCTTATCTAATCCTTCCTCTCAACACCTCCATAAATTATATATGATTATCTTCAATTAGAGAGGAGGATATCAAGGCACAGAAAGCTTAAGTAATTTGCCCAAGATCAGAATTAGGACATGTTGCAAAGCTGGACTGGGAACCCAGGACCTCCAGAATTCTTATATTCCAGTTTTTAAATTTCTTCTAAGAAACCACCAGCAGGTAGTTTCTCAAATTCCTTACATCTCTTAAAGTCCAGAGCAGGGTTGACAAACTATGGCCTGCAGGCCAAATCCAGCCATCCCATCTGTTTACATATAGCTGCTTCCACACTACAACAGCAGAGCTGAGTTGTGGCAACAGCCTGTATGGCCTGAAAAGCCTGAAATACTCTCTGATCCATTACAGAGAGAGTTTGCCAAGCCCTAATCTAAAAAAAAAACCTGCTGCCATCAAGTCAATTCTGACTCCTAGAGACCCTATAGGACAGAGCAGAACCACCCCATAGGGTTTCCAGTGAGCAACTGGTGGATTCAAACTGCCAACCTTTTGATTAGCAGCCAAGCTCTTAACCACTGTGCCACTAGGGCTCCGCCCCTGGTCTAGAGCATCCTGTAATTGTACAGTACTTGACAATGTACCTAGCACGTTGGTGTACATCATCACATTTAATCCTTGTTTTGTAGGGGTGTTCATGCATTACAAAGGAGGTTACGAGTCAGAGAGTTCAGAGAGTTTAGGTAACTTGCCTAATCACAGCCAGACAGGCAGAAAGTGGCAGAGCCATGTACCCAGGTTCTGACTCCAAATTGCAAACTCTTACCATGAAGCCACTCTGTCTCCCCTAAATTATTGCCAGGAAAAGCCTTGGAAACTGTAAAGAATCTGCAAAGAAACTGCAAAGCAAGTCAGACTGTCCTGATTCCTTGGCATCATTCCAGGTGCACTCAAGTAATTAGAGTCATCTAGTGCTAAAAATATTGTTAAATTTGTAACATATTTAAAAGAAATGTTTATTTCTTAAAGGAAGAGCATGACAATCATAGGAAACATATTTTGAAATATATGAGATGCATTCATATGCATTTTTATATTAAGGCATTTGAACCTACTCAATTTAGAACATAAAAAATAACAAAATGAGCAATTGACACATTTCTCTTGCTCTTTGAGGAGACTGGAAACCTTGATGGCATAGTGGATAAGTGCTATGGCTGCTAACTAAAAGGCTGACAGTTCAAATCCACCAGCCAGTCCTTGGAAACTATGGGGCAGTTCGACTCTGTCCTATAGGGTCGCTATGAGTTGGAATCAACTCTACGGCAGTTGGTTTTCTTTGAAGAGATTAGCTTAAAAAAACAGTCTATTTGTTCCATACCAAAATTTGCATAGGAATAAGATTGCAATTGTGCCTTCTTCATGCTAAATATTCAATAAATATGTGGTTAGTTTTAAACGGACTTGATACTAAGACCACTAGTAAAGTAATAGATACAGTATATGTACATTAGGCTTATTTAACTATACAGCTTAACCAAAACAAAAAATTTTTTTTCCAAGGGAAGCATAGTTGCTTCTTCTTAGTCTGCAAATAAATTTAAGCTCAATTTAAATGGCAATGATGATTCTTAAAATAATATGGCTTAGCTTCAGGGACTCATTTGAAATACTTGAGTCTGATGAGAGACTGATGGATCTTCCTTTTTTATTTGAGATGTAACATACCTTGAGATTTAAGCTTTCCTTGTATAAATCGGTACTGAGAAGGGGGGAAAATTGGGTGCTTACTATGTGTTAGGCATTCTCCCGTATTTTATTTCCTGAAATGCTCACAAGGAGCTGTGAAGTATTTTCCTTCCCCATTTTACAGATGAGGAAGCTGAGGCTCAGAGTTATTAACTAATTTGCCTAAGGTCACACAGCTGGACTTCGATTCTAAACCAGATTACCTTCAAAACCCAAGCCTTCTCCCGCTGTCTCGTGTAGATTCCCAATGACACCAAGATAATTGGCCAGTATCTCATGAATACTCATTTTAAGGATAGAACTTTATCTTTATTAGATGGATGGTTGGTACACTCATTGTGATTCTGCCCACACTATAATACCCTACCGAGGAACATTTTATCCACAAATTTTAATTTCTCCTTGTAAGGAAAAGAGAGAATCAAGGCACCTATAATTAAAAGAGTTTTTCAAGTAAGCCTGCAACCAAACGCACATAAAAATAATCCTTTAAGACAAACTGTTCTAATCAAATGCAAAATTAATGTTTAGAGCAGAACTCTGTATAAAACTAATTAATCTTGGATACTAGCCACGGTTATTAGTCACAGAGGGTCCTTTCATAATAAAGAGGAAAAAAAAAACATTATTTCAGACTTTAATAAATCAACTGACTTTCTAATAATTGATTTATGGTCTACATGATGAAGGGTGCCAATTCAAACAAATAGGTTTTGCCAACTGTTTTATCAGAGTTTACCAATTTTGGGCAGTGGTAGACTATAAGAACCTTTAAGAGAGGGACCTTGCCTTATACATTTTTCTATCTTCCCATTGTTTGGCACAGAGTAGACTGTTAAATATGTTACTCATTCAACAACTTTTAAAGTTAATGCATAGATTTTCAAGGTTGGTCCCATGGCACAGTCTCAAGGATATAAGAAATGTGAGGATACACTGTACTGTACTATTATGCAGACTAGGAGGGAAACCTGCTGGTACCAAGGAGAAATCCAGATTTAACCTTTAACAAGAGACAGAGAAGTTAATTGTAGGCACTGATTTAGTTCCATTCCCTAAGAACTAAGCATTTAATTGACAGAAACATAAAAACTGCCACTAACAGACACCATGAAACTCAGTTTTCCTTTTGCGTGATTCCATAAGGCAATATAATGTCTTTCAATGCTCTGCAGACAAGGTAATGCCAGCATCCCTGCCAAGACTGACATTCTAGTTTAAACTAGAGGTCCAGTAAAGACACGAAATAAATAGTGCTGCGGAAGGTGACACTGCAGCTTCCTTCTTTGCTGTTTGTGAACACAGGCTGGTTTTCTGGGAAGAAGGGAGAAGGCGGCTGCTTCTGCCTTATTTTCACATCTGTAATTTTCGTATGCTTTTTAAAAAATCCAGGTTATAGAAAAGCAGAAAGGTACAGAATAAATTAGGAGATGATTTTTCACATTGTAAAGGGATTCTCCACAGGGTTCCTTTAAATACTGAACTTCCTTGGGGCACTCAACTTGGAATTTGATTTAGATGCCGCTTTTCAGGAACACATTTCTTGTGTAAAGTTGGGCACACCTATATGTCCATCTCAACTCCCTTCCAAGGAAATCCAGCATCTTGTTTCCATTCATACGGCAAGAGAACAAAAAGTGTCGATGGCTTCTTCCTCAGAAGCTGAAGAATCCAACCAACAAAGAGAAAGACTCACTTGTGGCCACAGTCCTTCCAGTGTCCTGAAACATGGCTCTTTCTATAACCAGGGGTTTGCTTCACGTTAGTTCAGGGACCAGGGATACGTGAGATGGCGAGCCGTGTGTACGATATTTGGAAGCGCGGCCCACAACTATGGAGCCAGAGACTCAACGGCTTCTTGTAGCTATGCTATTTCTTCTCCTCTGCACACGCTACAAGATGGGCAAGAACCACTCACCACTCCTGAAGCCCACAAACAACAGAGGGAGCCCAGCTCCTAGTCGTGCAAAAAACATGATAGCCCAGGATCCTTCCCACCCGTCCTTGTGCTGTACATTAACCGGTAAGTCATTTTCCCTATATAGCAAACAAATGTTTCGAGAACTTAGTCCTGTGATTTGGCAGTCAAAGACATGCACAAAGGATCAAAAAGCTGAAGACTTGACTTTCCTGGGTCGCACCCAGGGGAAGGCAGCTTCATCGCTCAAACCAGTGGGCCAAGTTGTGTATGCTCTTGGGCCGGTTCCCAGCCGTCTGCAGAGCCTGGCAGACCCGGCACCAGGGTTCGTCCCAAAAGGAAGTGACGTGCACCGCGTAGCTCCGGCGCCAGTTGAAGTAGCGGCGGTAGACAGCCGGGTTGCGGTCGAGGAAGAGCAGGTAGGCGGCCAGCGAGGCTGCACTAGAGAAGTCGTCCACATGGATGAAGGCGCCGCGGGGCAAGAAGCGCTCGTAGTTGGCACGGTTCGGCCCCAGGACCACGGGCACTGTGCCGGCCAACAACGAGTTGCGCCAGAGCTTCTCGGTGATATAATCCAGGTGCTGCGAGTTTTCGAAAGCCAGGTAGAACTTGTAGCGGGCCACCGTGTGCAGGAGCCCGATGTCTGGCAAGGGCCGTCCTGGTCCGCCCTTGCCGAACACGTTGACGAACACGTGCTGGCTCAGCTGGTGGTAGTAGCGGACTCGGGCCTGGTGCTCGTTCCAGTGGCTCACCACCCAGGCCACCAGCCCCCGTTTCCGGGCCAGCGACGGGACCAGGCCCGGCGGCTGGTCGCTGGGGTGGGTCCTGGGGTAGAGGTAGCCATAAGGAACGAAGACATCCGAGTCGACCCGGTAGGAAAGCGTCCAGTTGAAGAGGTTGCCTGCCAGGTTTCCCAGTCCATGGGTGTGGGAGGGCGACTCGAAGTTCATCCACACCCAACGTTGGCCCGGGGGCCTGGGGCCCGGGACCGCGCCGGCTTCAGCTGCCGCTTCCTCCTCGTCGTCTAACATTTGCAGCTCCAGCTCCTCAGCAGTGCGCCCCCGGGCGTTCCAGGGCGGAGGCCAGTCGGGGGGCCCGTTCACAAGGTCCCGGTGGTGGAAAAGCACGGCCTGCGCCTCCCCGTAGGCCGAGCGGTCGGTGAGCAGGCGGCAGCCGCTGATGCTGAAGCGCAGCCAGCAGTTGGGGGGCGGTTTCACGGCGCCACCGCGCCCTCGGAAAGGCTCCCACCACAGGAGCACGCCGACTGGCCGCGGCGGGGCCAGAAAGGCCCAG